ACACAAAAACTGAAAAGAAGTGGAGACTGAAATCAGCCAGAGATGTAAATCTCGTGCAACCTATTACTGAAGTAAGTTAAGCAGCTCCATCATCAAATAAAAAATCGCTAGATTAACTTCTTTCATCAATTCTGATGAGGTTTCAGCAGAAAAGCTATTGATTTTCCTTATTGCTCACACTCAGTTGTTTTCTATCATATTTTACAAAAATATAATATACACAAGTTCAAACCTCAAACTTGTTTTCTCTCTCTTCCTTTGCTTTACCTTCCCCCTTACAGCTCCAAGGATAAATCACTTACTTAGGAAAAAAGAGCTTCTGTCCGATATCTTGCTTTGTACTTTATGTCATCGAGGACTTTTAAATAGTATGTTATACTTCACGAAGCATCTCATGAGAAAGGATTACCCAACAAAGTTAAAACACAATGCTTCTTTTGTTTCCTTTTGCAGGTTAACATTTTTTGATTCTTTAAGAAATCAGATCCAGGAATATTACACCAATATTGAAGCTAGAATGATGCATAAAAAGTAGTCTGTATATGATTCTAAATAAATCCTCTAATCATGCACAAGCAAAAGGGAAATGGCTCTTCTTTCTTGATCCTTCCCTCCCTCCACTCTCCCACTCTCTTCCAACCTCTAAATTTTCTAAAGCCAAGATACTGAATTAGGAAACAACATGTAGGTACGGAGAAATGTCTCAATAAGAATTTCATACTAAGCCATAACATAGGTTACTCTACACAGAAATTAAATTTTGAACAATATCTTGAATCCCCCACCACTCCCTATCCTTCAATCATTTCACAAAGTTATTCCTTTGATACCAACGGAACAAGTATTTATGATGCAATGGTAGATAAATACGATAAACCATCTTGATATTACTTCACCAATAATGTGAAATGTCATGATAATGTGCAGGCGTAGCGTAGAGGGAAAGCAAAATAGTTCTCCACCAAGAGGACATCATCCTCTCACAGTATAAGATAGTTAAACATTACTACTTTTAGAAAATTAAAGGCTAGCGAAAGAGAACCCTTTGCCTTAGCACAATTGTAGCAAATTCGCTTAGTATGGTGTTCTATAGATCGAAAACAAGACAGATAATCACATTTTCGCTTTTTGCATTTCAAGCTGATCAAGTTAAACTCAACTCCACATACATAAAAGGGCTTAATCAGAGAAATGCTAGCTTCCATCAACTGAAATTTAAAAAAAAAAAATCAGGCTTGATTACCTCAACAAAGTTGGTGAATTTGGGATCTCTATTCACAACCAACCTATGAACCTACAAGGACCAAAATTGACTATATAATCAAAACCCATAATCTAAAATCACCAAATTCACATAAAAAAAAAAACTAAAATACCTCATATTCCACCTTGTGCTTCTCGGATTCCTCAAGAGGTATATAATACTTAGCCAAACGAGTCTTTCCTTGCCTGTTCTGAAGCAATATAAAACGGATCTACCCATTTTTCGAGATGACCCAGTTGAAAACAAACGATCAAAAATCAATCAGAACAGCAAATTCATGAAATTGAAAACAAAATGATTGTAATTTCTGCTACCAAATAATTTTCAGTGAGATCAAAGAGAAGAGAAAAAAGTTACCATTTTGTTCAGAAGATCTGCAGGCAAAACAGCTGTAGAAACAATTGAAAAAATCTCTTTGATTCTTTAATTTGTAAAAACCAGCAAAAAGCCCTCAGGGTCACAACTGAGGTGCCAGAGAAGAATTTTCACCTTTGTTTTAAAGAAATGACAAAATAGTCCCTAATAATTTTTAAAATGAAAAAATTTAATTTAAAAATACAATATATCACATAATAATTTTTAAGTACGAGATAATAATACAATACTTAACATAATGATTTTTAAAATCACAATAGTAATTTAGTAGGTCGTTTTCAGATTTAACAATATTCGGAAAAAAGATAGTGTATGATCTGGAGCATTGTTGTGTTTGTAATTGCGATTGTGCTTGTGGTTGTTGATTTCTTTTTTTAATTTTTCGTAATTGTTCTTTGAAATTTGTAATAAACTATAATTTTATATTAGATAAAAAAAATTAAAAATAATAATTTGATATTACATGAAAATTATAGAAGGTGATTATTTTTTCAAAAACGAATTTATATTATGAAATAAGAAAATGAAATAAAAATAAAAATAATATAATATAATATTAAGGAGAGAAAAAAAAATTCTTTTTTAAAAAGTACAATAGAGAATTGAATTGGAGTTGATTCTCTGAAAAAGAAAAATTCTATAATTGGAGAGTAAAATAGAGTCTAGGGCTGAAAATGCCCTTAAACAGAAAAAGTAACTCTTAAACTTTTTACTGTGAGAGTTTGATTCCTCGGTATAGGGATGACAATTGGGGGGAGGGGGGAGGTGCGAACCGGGTTTAAGGCTACAACAAGCACGACAGGGTGAATTTAAAATTGTGCGGGCCGAGGAGAGATACAGAGCACATTAAAGTGAATTTTTAAAAACTAATGCGGAATACAGTTAAAAATCTATGCGGTTTCAAACATAATTTTAACTTTTTAAATATTATATGAGTGAAAGAGCATTATCTATTATATTAATTTCTTTAAAGTTACTAAAATATTCAAGATAACAAATAAAAATGGTTCGATCAAAACTAAAATAATTTCTTACATACGTCTAAATTTGATCTCTAAGAAATAAAATCTAATCATTATCTATTAAGTTTATATAACTTAATAAAAAATAATTTAATTTTTAATATCAAACTTAACTAAAAAGGCAAAATTAAAAAAAAAAAATTGTGTGAAGTGGACCTATGCGGGGCGAAGACGGGTTCAAAATGAAAACAATTATTACACGGGGCGAATTAATTTTTTTTGAAGGTTAAACTCAACTCTTTTCCCACCCTCAATTTTCATTTTTATTTTTTTTAAAAGTTGAATACATAAGTTTTTATATTTTTTAAATTTAATTTATATATTTGAAAATTACATAAAAAATTATTACAAAAAAACATAATAATTAACGTATTAAATTATTAAAAGTACCAATAGAAAAACTTGATTAAATCTTGAATTTAACTATATCAAATAAATTAAAATGAAAAATATGTATAAAACAATTGAAATATTTGTTACTAAAATAAAACGTGAAAATATTTCATTTATAAAAAATCATGCAAGATAACTATTTGTAATAAAAATAAAAAATATAGTCTGCAAAATAGAATGCACGTTTCACTTAGAGGCACTGCAGTAGGGACATGTGTAAGTAAATATAAAAAATGTCCTTGTTATAAATAAAGCGTAAAACGCGATTGACCACACCTTTTTCTTTGTAATATGTGTTTCTTCTCCTTCGCATGCTCAACTCTCATATGATAGGTGTTTTTATGAGAAAATTACGCGTTAAACAAATTTATACTATTTAATTACTCATTATAGCTATAGTTTGTTATAATTATCACTCACGACTAACATCATACATTAATTACGTGGGCTACATCGAGTTTGTATAATTAGCCACATTTGTATACATATAATTCGTCAGAATATATAAATACATATGTATAATATACAATTATCTAATCAATATACATATACAATTCACCTATCTCCTACTCTCTCGCTCACCTCTCTCCTCCCTTTCCCAATCTCGCTCACCTCTCTCCTCTCTCTCTTGATCTCGCTTGTCATATATACAAGTGCATATGTATAATATGCAATTATCTAACTGATATACATGTACAATTCACCTATCTCCCATTGTCTGCCCTCTCTTACTCGCATCTCTACTCACTCTCCCAATCTCGCTCACCTCTCTCCTCCCTCTCCCAATCTCGCTTGTCATATATACAAGTGCATATGTATAATATGCAATTATCTAACTAATATACATGTACAATTCACCTATCTCCCATTGTCTCCCCTCTCTTACTCGCATCTCTACTCACTCTCCCAATCTCGCTCACCTCTCTCCTCCCTCTCCCAATCTCACTTGTCATATATACAAAGACATATGTATAATATACAATTATCTAACCGATATACATATACAATTCACCTCTCTCCCACTTGTTGCCCTCTCTCTCCCAATCTCTCTCGCCTCACTCCTCCCTATAACATGTAGCTATGAATTGTAATTATCAAACTATAACTATGGAAAGTAATTAAGCTATTTTTAGTGGCTATATGTGAATGTTTCTCTTTTTTCTTAAAGGTATAAGTAGGTTGATATTATATGCATACAATTTATCGAGGACATGATTCTAGATAAAATAATGTCGATAATTAGGATAAAAAACTACTAATACGTAACCATGAATTATTTGGTTTTCCTCGTATTTTTCAATTTTATTACTACTTGTTGTTTCATGGGTCAGATTAAATTTTTTGATGGTTACGCTCAACCTGTCCAATCCTCACTCCGCATAGCTTTATTGTTATTCATGCCCCAATATAATCCCCTGTTCCCCACCCCCACCCCCAGTTTTAATTATTTTTTTCCAAAAAAGTTGGATATATAATTTTATCATAAATCATTAAATATAATTTATATATTTAAAAATAACATAAAAATTATTATCAAAACATAATAAGCAACAAATTAAAGTATTAAAAATGCATAAAAATATACCAATAAAAATACTTGATTAAGTCTTAAAATTTCAACTGTATCAAATAAATTATAATGAAAAATATTTATAAAACAATTGCGATACTTGTCACTAAAATAAAACGAAAAAACATTTTATTTATAAAAAAATTAGTGCAAAATAACTATTTGTAATAAAAATAAAAAATATAACCCGCAAGAAATAGAATTGCACGTGACACTTAGAGACAATACAGTAGGGACATGTGTAAGTAAGTATAAAAAAAAGGCCCTTATGATAAATATAGCATAAAACGCTTTGTCCAAAGCGTTTTATTTGTGCTTATTTCACAATTACAAAACAAACAAGATGTTCTATATTTACTGATACATGTGCTTTTTATCACATAAATAAGTCAGTGCTGCATATAATACAATTACAACTACGCCTCGATTCCAAATAAATTGGGGTTGGCTATATAAATCCTCACTTCTTCGTACTTCATTAATGGGAGTACAAAAAATGGCATCACAAACAAGAGCCTCTATAAATCCAATCATCAATCCTTCTTTAGAACATTCTAAATTACAAATGCTCATGTATTTTTCCTCAAGCAAACCTTTGAACACATGAAATTTAGCTTTTCCCTTAATCATCATGTTCATACTTTGAATTTGCAGCAGCTAATAATGCAGCTCCAATACCAGATCCATCTTTTGAATGTTCTATCACTACATTTTTCGAAATTTCCGAGCCTAGTAGCTCTGTGACAGCTTCTTGGAGGTATCCTCTGTACTGAGGATAGTGCTCATATAAGCCTCCATCCATTGCTACAACTGTTCTTTTACCAAAGATGAGACCTTTAGAATCTTCCTCCATTTTCTGTAATATACCAACAATTCCTGCACCAGCTAGACGACCCCCTCGTTTTGCAATAGTATCGCAAATGTCCACGACTGTTTTCCTTGCACTTAGATCGGATTTTACCTGAAATTTAATAATCCAAAGAAAAATCGTGAACATCAAAACGTTCGTAGACTTCTTTCATACTCTACGAAAATATTTTTTGCAAAGAACTTCTAGTGCTAGAGAGACTAAATTTTTTTGCTGACCTAAACTTGCTTGGGATTGAGGCGTAATAGTAGTTGTTATTGTGTGTTTTCATATCTATAAACATAACTCTGGAAAATGTTCTATGTTTATGGAAACAGATGCTAAACTATCCTTTTGAATGTTGTCTTTGGAATGAATATAGATCTTCAAATGTAAGGTTCTTCATGAATCGATTATTGGACAACAAGTATTCAATCGGAAAAAAAATTGGCCTAGAAGATAAGTGACTGGAAAGAGTATTGCAGTGCAAGTTAAAACACGAGAGTTAAGGAATATACCCCAGCTACATCATAGAGGACAGACTCAACAGCTTCAAGATCTATTGATGTATCCTGCTGCATGGCACATATATCAGGTGTCCTATATGATGCAGATCAGACAGAGTGAGTAAAAACTAATTAATACAAACCGAGAACATTTGCATCATAAACTTCTGATATAACAGATGTAATTACCTCAGCACAAATGGAGTGACTAGCTTTTCCGGAACATAGCTGCTACCAAATAAGCCCCCAACCTTGGCCATTTTGACCAGCACCCGTCTCACAATTTCCCCAAGGTACATACCAGAGATGGTCTTTTCAAAAATCTTCATCAAGAAATAAGATGGTAGAAAAGACCATTAAGAAACAGTGTGATACCAATAATACGAAGAAAAGAAATTTTCACATTTTGAGTCAATAATACTTGCCTGCTCACCAGGGTTAATGCTCTCGGCATCCATTTCTCTATCAAACTCAGTTAAAGGAAGGCCATTTGAGAAAGCTCCCCATTCGGTATTCACAATCTAAAATATAATGATGTATCAAACTCAATGGTTGCTAAAATCTGTTCATGAAATAACTTGACGAAGGAGATTTGGGCTCTACTTACCGTTATTGGAGACTTAGACATCCTTTTTGCCAGCTTAGGAATAGCATCCACACGTTCTACATAGCAAGCATTGGTTCCAGTCCCAAGAATGACAGCAACCATGGCATCATCATCCCAGTATCTTGCTCCGGCAAGTGTTCCCACAGTGTCATTGACCTAACTTGACAATGAAATCATGAAATGATTGAACTAAGGAAGCGCCAGACTATTCTCCAACATTTCTACAATACACATGAAGTTGAGCAAGAACCTACCAGGGCAGACACTTGCATATCCATTCCCCGCCTCTCCATGGCTTCATTCAGACAAGCAACAACATCTTTTCCCGCCTGTTCCATGTTATGATGGAATCAAAAAATAATCGGCAGGTAAAATGAAAATGATAATGATAAGAGAGACAAAGTTAAAAGTCAATGTTAAGGAACTCGATCTTCTCTACTAGTTTGGAATCCAGTATTTTCCGATTCGACTTGTAAGAACAAAGCGATGAAATGATCCCTCTAATTACACAACTTACTAATCAGTTATCATAGTGTAACCAGTACTCTTACAAATTTGTTGTATCTTGAAAAAAATGGACTCACGAATATGAAACACTCGGTTGTCCAGAAAACAGAAAATCTCACATGCACAATCGATTGGGGATGGAATTACAGGATTTTACCAACTAGATGATTCCGGTGCTTTCTTCAGAAAAAGGTAAAACCGTAACGTTCGTTGGAAGTTTTAGTAGTTCGAGGGAAATTGGCCATCTTTACTGAAACTAAAATAACGCAGAATTGATTGGCCTTCTTAGCGATGTATGGTTCCAGAATCAGTCATAGGCTAAATTAGTAAGATGTCTAAAATCTGCCACTCCTTTACACAAATAAGAGAGTCAAGAAATACTAACAGTTCCAGAGACAGCAAAACCTTTTGTCCATTTGATTAGGATTCCAGTTCTTATTGAAGTCTGTTTCACCGGAAAAGAAAACGTGAATCCTATTTCCCTTGTCCGTCCCTGTTGCAACTCAAAATTACCACCTTCCTTTTGTGCAAATTTTCCTAGCGCAGAAGCTATGAAATCGAAAAGCTCCTACAATAACCGATGCAAAGATGAATACAACAACAAAAAAGATAGTATTGGTCAAATCCCATTACAACAAGAAAAACTAAACAACCTCGGAGGTAGCAAACATCAGTTCTTGGGGTATAGAGACTTGCTCAAACTCAGTGGCGACTACACGCTCTTCTTTACCACCTAGCTGCACCCTTAGCACCCGGAAATTTGTACCACCAAGGTCCAACGCATAAAACAAGCCTTTCTCATTCCTTCATTAATCATTAATATATTGTAACAAATACTATAAGAACAAGCTCAACAATCAAACACAAGCCTTTCTCATTCCTTCATTAATCATTAATATATTGTAACAAATACTATAAGAACAAGCTCAACAATCAAACAAGTGAACAAATCGAAATCATACTTGGAAATATTAGAGACACATAAATGAAGCGAAGGGAGTAATATATAATCAAGACACTATAACATGCTCAAACTTTTAGACAAGATAGTCACACACATCAATATGGTATCAAATCAACCAGAGATTATTGATTCAAACATCATCGCAAGTAAAAAATATTTCAATGTGTTCGTCCCATGAAAAAAATCAAGCTCACATGTAGCCGCGTGTTCAAACATAACAATTATTCAACTTTCAGCTTTTAGATGAGATGACAAACACATTACATGGCGAAAAAGACAAGTCTTTAAACCATGTAACTCCTTGTGATTATGTTCATCAAATTAAACATTTGAAGAATTGAAGTACACCAACTATAGCTTAAAGTAAAAATAATGGGATCTTTACCCAATTAGCTGGCCAACCAATTAATATCACAACTGAACCAAAATAAAATAAAATTAGTAGTTTACCCAGTTGGTAGAGTGTCGACATAACTAAGGATCATCTTCAGATCACTGCCGCCGTCGACGGCAAGCCCGGCCCTCATATCATCGGCCATTGCATCCGCCACGTGGCGCAAAACTGGAAGAGGAGTAGCACAATCTTTCTGCAACTTCGTCAAAATTGGTGCTACTCCTAAGCTGTCAGTAGATCGGACGGCAGATATAATGACACGTGGCCTAGAGATCGTTTTATGAGGTGATCGTGAAACATGGAAGGATCGGACGGCCGGCGAGCTAACGGTGACCGACATTTTAGGTAACAGTGAGATCAATTCAATTGTGTGACGGAGAAAAAAAGAGAGACAATAAATGGTGACGTTGAAACAGAGTGTTTGAAGATCTCAACTTTTAACACTTGAAAAAAAAAAAAAGTTTGTTTGAACAGTTGAATTTCAAATAAAATAATGATGAAAAACAGTTGAATTTCAATAAAATAATGATGTGAGGATTTAATGAAAGAATATAAGAATTTGGCTAACTATAAAACTGTTCGTTACTTTCATAGTGCTGAAACTAAACCGTAGCAGAGAGCATTACAGCTTTTCTGCTTGACTAAATTTAGTGCAGGACAATGAAGTTCCGTAGGACTTCACGACATGCGTTTAAGTCTAATTAAAACTTTACGAGTTAATTCGATTTTAAATTAAACTCTCAAAAGATTACTTTATGTATATATAACGTTATTTTTTATAAAGATACATCTAAAATATTTATAAAATATTCATAAAAGATTATCCGATAAATATGTCATTATTGCCTTTGAACTTATTGAATAATATTCTTATTTCTTCAAAATTTTGTTTATTATTAATTTATCTTTTCACATATTTAAATTTTTTAGTATGATCAAAGATTTTAATATTTTAATTAATAGTGAGTCACTTTTCTCAAAATTTATGTTCTTATGTTAAACCAAAACACACGAAATAAAAGGAAGGAAATGAGACTTTTGACATGTATTATAACTACACTTACAACTTAAATCTATTCTAGACATATGATAATATATTAATTATTATATTAATATGTATAATACTAATAAAAAGAGAAGTTTAAACTTAAGAGTAAAAATTTCAAATACTCCCTTCGTTTGAAAAAAAGTGATCTAATTTGGTTTGACATAAAGTTTAAGAAAATAAAGAAGACGGTTCAATCTTGTGATCCTATATTAATGTTATATCAAATTTACAAAATTATCCTTTAATCTTGTGACATTAAACATGTCATATGCGAAGTTAAAATTAAAAAAAAAAATCATTCATTTTAAAACAGATTTTAAAAATCTTTTTTTTAAACAGAAAGAATATTATATAAAATAATATACATATTTTTTAAAGAACATACTAAAAATGACTAGAGTGACAAATAATACTAGTTTCTCTCCGGATTGTGGCGGACAAGACGATGTTGACAAGAAAAGTAGCTGGCTGCTTGGAATTTTTCACCTTTTTTTTTTGGTTTTTGGTTTTTCTGTCGGAGTTTCAAATGTATGTTTGCCCCACTCCTTACTATTTATTTTATTGTGGATAAAAAAACAGTTTTAATACTTGATAAAAAGAATTATTGAAAATGTTCATGCGATCGAAAATAATTATTCTACAACAAAATCTATTACATATCATAGTCTATTTAGATCTGTATCACTTATTTTTATGAAAAAATAGTATATAATGACAAACTAATAATTTAAATTAACTGTTATAATTGTATTTTGATTTTTGTGTCATGTAGCAAATTATTTGTCAGTCGTCTATCTCTCTCAAACTCTCGCCCCTCTCTCGCTCGTCTCTCTTGTTTTTAATACAAATACAAATATATAAAATGGGTTTGTATTTGTATAAAGCGAGAGAAAATTATATGTATACATATGTTTCCGTTCCTTTCTACCAGATCTCGCTCACCACCCTCACGTTGCTTGCTTATACAAACATAAACGAAATGTATAAATTGTGTTTCTGTTTGTAGAAAGCGAGAGAAAATTGTATATACACATGCGAATACATATATCTTCGTCCTACCTGCGCAATTTTCTTTTGTGTTTCACTATTTCTCATTTTATACGTACATAAATTATACAATTAATCTTTTGTATACAACTGTTTTCTTTTGTATATGTATGACGACTTATACAACTGTTTTGTTGTATATGTATAGTGAAATATACATACTTATATTAGCTATGGAACACATTATGCAAATATGATTTTTATGTTTGTCATTACTCATTTTTATATCAAAATCAAAGTAGGCCCACTAAATAAACCAAAAAACCCACACAATCCAGCCCAATTTGCCTTGAGCTTCTAGTTGAATCAATTCTGTATATTTTTTACTAAAAAGAAAGAGGTACAAGTTACAAGGCAGAATAATTCTAGTGAAGTGGACTTGAAGAAACGAAGCTCCACTTACTCATCTTCTTTTGTTTCCACTTTTTAAGCTCTTTTATAGTCTCTCATTCATCAAACACACTCCTACAAACATACATTCGATCGATAATAGTGTTGAAACTGACAATAAACGATATGGAAGAATCAGAAGGAGTGACCACAATGATGGGAAAGGCGGAGATCGATACGAGTGCTCCATTTCGTTCGGTTAAGGAGGCAGTCATGTTGTTCGGAGAAAGAGTTCTTGCTGGAGAACTCTACTCTGCTAATAAGCTTAAACAGGTAATATACACCATTTATTCTCCACTTCATATTATATACACCGATAGTATACCAAATTTTTACATTATATGAGTGTTCTTTTAATATATTTGTAGCACGTAATTTCTATTATTATTTTTCAATTCAGTGACAATTATATGTAGTTGTCTCTTAGGGATATAATAGTGTATATTTGCTATATAACGCATAAAATATTAATCTATCCAGTGGGGTTTAGGTATCACGAGTTCGGCTCCAAAACAGACACCTTTTGGACGTTACCGACCAAAATGGACACGTTGCTCATTAAAGGTTCTAGTGTTCAAAAAGTATTCATTTTAGGATGTACGCATACATTATCTCTATTTGTGTGAGGAAAACACAACCGTTAGCACTAAACTTCTGCTATTTATGAGTCCAGAAAAGAACCCCACCATAAAGGTATATTGTATGCAACTACTTTTGCAAAAGGCTATTTTCACATGGCTTGAACCTACTGTACTACAACAAAAACAACTTTTATCGGTAATAAATAGACACATTAATAAAAAGTGATTAATTATTTACCGGTATTAGTTAAGTGTCGTTAGATTCAATGTCGCTAAAGCCTTTAGAAACATATACAAAGAGTGTTAATTGCCGCTAAAAATACATATTTAACGGTAATTACTGATTAATTGCCGCTAAATCTCATTAGTGCTATAATCTCTAAAATGCAACATCAAGCAGTATAAGAAGAAGAAAAAAAACGCTTGCTTAATCTGTAATACAAGTATATTTTTTTTCATGTTGGAGAATAAAGACTGACAATATTATAGTGAAAAAGAGGATTAACCAACTAACCAAAGTATCTTTTAATTTCAAACATATATAAATTGAACTGTTTATATATAAACTAGATCAATGACTCTAATCTTTAATTATACAATGAAGAAATTCATTTTTTGAGTTCTAAGTTGCCTACATGATTTACTCGATATGATAAATATTATTTACACTGTCAGTATATATAACTCTAACTTAATTATTTATTTATTCAGAAACAGGATGGATCGAGTCATGAAGACGAAAGCGACGACTCGTTTAATGATGAGTTAATTGAGACAAAGCAAAGACTAGAAAGGGCAAGAGAAGAAAGATTGGTAATGGCTACATGTCTCTCTTCTTTAGAAGAAGAACTTGAACGCACAAGAAATGAGCTTAATAACCTAAAATTTGAGCAACAAAAAGTCATGGTATCAGAAATTGAAGACCTAAAATATATAGAGAAATCACAAATTATGTCACATGATCAAAATAATATTGAGTTTCACAAAAAAAGATATGTCACATTTGCAAATCCTTCACAAGGTGATGATCATGATCATGTTGTATTATTACAAAACCATCCTTCAATCAACAAGAAGAAAAAGAAAAAAATATCCCTAATCATACCATTGATTGGGGGAATTTTTTCTAGGAAAAGAGGTAGTAATTCGGATAATAACATTCAATCTGCTCGAGTTTAAATCGAATAAAAAGACATCTCAAGGCTTGCGTTCCGTTTGAATTTTCCAATGGTTTTTTGCTTGAAATCAAAGTGTGAAAAGTAAGGTTGGTTAATATGCATATTTGATTTCTTTGTTTACAATTTTCAATAAGAGATATACTATAAATTATGATATGTAATTCCTTTTGCTTCTTGTAATAATATTTAAAAAAATCTCTAATGAGTTTTACAAAAAATTCAAGAATAGCTAGAGAATAACTAAATTTTGTAAGAAAAAAATAAAAACAAATTATTCTCACTAAAATATCCATTCAAAGATAACGTTTTTTCTTTTTATAGTAAATTTCTTTTCAAGTTAGTTGAACATCGAGAATTTTTAGATCGATTTGAACTCGATTTTCTTAAGATGTTAATTTTGGGTTTTACTAGTCATATTTTGTTATGGGGTCTCTATAATTGAATAGATTAAGAAAATCAAAATCAGCTATTCCACATATACAACTATGTTTAAATTTACAACATCAAATTTGAACTCATAAAATTCAAAAATAAAATAAAATAAACAACACAAGCTACAAGCATGGTTGCACTGAATTAATTACTTTAGCCCCAAAAAAACATAAAAATCACACAATAACGTCTGATTTTCTACCACTAAAAATACCTTGATCTTGTGATGACTTATTAAAAAACTCTATACAATCAGCAATAGCTTCATTATAATGAGAAGTTGATGAATAATAAGAGCTACATGAGGTCTTCGGCGGATCGGGCCGGTCACAGGATCTCCGTCTCTGTCCTGAGCCCGGCCCGGTTGCCGACATCGTTGCCCCAGCCCGACTCGGCCTCCTCCGGCTAGACGTTGGGATAGGGAAAACGAATCGCATGACGATCTTGCGAAAGCGATCGAAAAGCTTCATAGCGGAGAAATTGATTAATTTATTAGAAGAAGGGCTAATAACTTGAGATGAAGATTGAAAATTTTCTGAAACTTGAATAACAAAGCTTTCTCTTTGAATAGAAGTTTTGTTAGTGTACATTATTGTTGTTAGAACACAAAAAGCCTTTGTATTTTTGTTATAAGTTTTGGCTATAATAAGGTTTATATATATTTATGAAATTTGGAAAAAGATGATGGTTTAATTCTTTAACCATGTGACCAAATCATATATATGGGCTTTTGTTGTCTTTTCAAAGTACATTTGTTTATTTAGATTGTTAATTATATTAACTTCCAAGTAATAATCATGTCTTGTACTATGATATTATATTAACTCACTCTCAAAAATCAAAAGTCCTCATTCAAATAATCATGTTAGCATGGTAATAATTAATATCATTGGTTCTATCCTTTCAAAACTAACTCTTATGGATAATTATGGACAAACTCAAAGTTATCGAATCCAAATTAAGAATCATGGTAACCATTCGAGCTGACGAAATTAGTAATATTATCCGTGAACGTATTGAACAATATAATAGAGAAGTAAAGATTGTAAATACAGGTACCGTACTTCAAGTAGGCATTTGAAATTTATAATTCGAGAAATTTGATTCTTTTAAGTTATTAAGTTCTAAATAAATTATTTTCTCTATTCACTTTTATTTGTCATTGTACTTTTCGAAAGTCAATAAAGTTAATTCGATACTTTTTTTTAAAAAAAAGATATTCATAAACTATATGAAAAATACTATAAACTGCAATTTTTTGTATATCAATATGATGAAAATATACATCGTAAAATGTAAGTCAAAGTTCTTTTAGTTGACTCTAAAAAAGAAAACCAAAACAATTAACTGTGGACGGAGGGAGTATTACTTTGTAAATATAACTAAAATGAACTTCTTAAGACAATTTAGAGTTTAGATCGAAATTCTTGATTTCAGTCAAACTCTATGTTATAGTCTAGTTTCATACGAGAGAGCTTGGTGATCTTAAGAATGATTCAGGTGGGAGATTCTCTTATGTCATATATGCATGTTTGTTCGACATAGGTAAATTCATAATTTAAAGTTACTAAGACGTTCAAAATGAGTATGGTTATATATGTGTATACATTCTAAATATTTTTATAATGCATAGATCGATTTAAAAGTAATAAAATATCATTCAATAAAAAAAAAAGTGAAGTTTTGCATTATGGGTAACGACAAAGCTTATAAAGTGGTTATTTACTTGCAATTTATGAGATGAAAAAACTAAATTATATTATGATGACTTGCTAATCACATTTATATTTAAATGATTAAATTAGTAATAGACAACAAGTTCACTAAGACATGATTGACTGGCTTAGTTTTTAATTAAAAGCAAAGAAGTTATAAAAGTACGACATTAATGAGTATGATCAATAATAACTTGCCTTTTTTCCTAAGATAATATTCTCTAAGAATCACTCTCAAATGAGTACTGCATGTGCTTGAGCTTATATTATACGTTAAAAATTATTTGTTGTATTTAAAAAAAGACTTATTATCATCTTGATTAATTTTAGTTTTACAATTGGATGTTGGATAATTTCAATTAAAAAGATATAATTGTATTTGGACTATCTTGTATATTGAGGCATTTGTTATCTCCATATCAATTAATTACTCTGTTTATCAAGGTTTGATAATATTCTAGTCACCATTATAAATATCAAATAACTTTATCGTCTATTGAGATTTAGGCATATAAAAGAAATTATCTACTATTTTTATGTCAAGCATTTATTGATCTTCACCAACTCAAAGTTCATACATCAACTATTCGATCAGGCGTATCTGTTGTCTCCCACCAACAGTAGTATGGACCAACTCTATTTATTGAAGATATAATTATATCCACCTTTATAAATATTGAATAATATTGAATAACTTTATCTATCAAGATTCAGATATATGAAAATAATTTTGTTTATCCTAATATATATACATATAAAAAGTGAGAATTTTAGTAAAAGGACTGGAAAAAGAAGGCCAAAGGCCCAAAGTCAATGTGGTAGGAAGCTCAAACCAAACCCATGGACAGGAACCTGCAACCAACCAGAGCCCAATCAAGATTGGGCTCTGGCCCAAAAAATGATTAACCACATGATTTGCACCACGTAGCCCATTTTAAGTGTCTTATTTAAGTTATAGTACATAGCCTTATAAAAGTATTTAATTTACGATCACCAATTTCTGATAAAACTTGTCTCTTCCTCCTACTTTGCTTAATGATGAGAAATTAAGATTTTCTTTAGATTGCCACACATATTTCATGTAAATACTCATCTTTAACTTAATTGAGCCAAAGGTCTAACATTTCTATCTCACAAAAGTCGGTGTAAGATTTGCATAGTCTCACTCATTCAAATCATATATTGTTAATTTACATGTCAAATTAGGTTTTGAGCGTAACTCACCTAAGAGAATTGTTCAAGTCCTTATATTCTTACAAGGAGCTAAGGTTTTCTTCCCTCAACAATGTATTATTGATTCTATTCATTACCCCTCACGAGTCACGCCTAGATCCAAACATTATTTATCTGGGATTCTACTATCCGCCCCAGTGCATGCACATTCATGGACCGGAGGTATTCCACCCCACAATCAAATTGAATATAGTTTTGATATCATGTTAAATTAAGCTTTGAGCCTAAATCACATCTTAAAAGTCAATTAAAAAAAAATTGTCTTAACCTTACAAGAATTCGATATGACTCATCCTACACGATACAAGATTCATTTACAATTTAGTTTTGTCTGAACGAAGTACATCATTGAATATTTTTTACATCACATAAGTAATAACTCTATGAGTGCCAGCTCAGTTAATATATTAAGTATGAGTAATATTTAAACAATAAAGAACATATTGGCAGACTGGTGAGTACGTGTACATGTACTACAATGCATTAATGCGAATCTCAGTTTTCAAAAATCAAAATACAAGGAGGGAGATGTACTAAGTTTCCATTTCAAACCGCACAATTTAATACTGCTAAATAGTCAGAAAATTTGATTACAAATTTAAATAATTTATAATATTTTTTTAAATTTTAAATAAACTGTTCTTTCTTCTATTTTAAAGTTTTAAAATAATAAACATATTTTAAAAAATAAAATAACATAGATAAAAAAAAAACAAATTCTAATCTTTTTCCTTTTAATACCCATCATTTAAAACAAGTAAATGCAAGATATTCAGTGATCTTCATTCATAATTAATTATGTATTACAACGAGGGGGTGGAAATCAAGAACCACTACTCTCAAATACTTATAAATATATACAAATAAAAGCAAATTTTTTTTGAACTTTACTAAAATAAGAGCTTAATTGCACGAGTATACCGATGTGTTTTTACACATTCGGTATATAATAACTTAAAACTCATTATTGAGTTTCCCACGCGTTATTAATATGAATTAGATTTAATAACAATCATTAATTTACTCGATATTAAGTTCATATTGTATTACTCAAAAACTCCTATTTTGATTTTCTACTAAATGATATATAGTCAAATAAAAGAAAACTAGAATGTGTATGCAATAATGTTACGGGGAAAATTGATTTGACAATGTGAGTATATTTTTAGTTCATCACTGCAGTCAAAGTGTTATCATATTTTTTCTATTGTAAACAGTATAATATAAAGTTTAATTAATTTTGCAGTGGTCCCAATATTGACCCCACGTGCCCTTCCAGCTCATCCATTAATAACAAGAAAAAAAAAGAAAGGAATACATTTATGTGATGGATTGATTCATGCGGTTACTTCAACTACTTTTTTCCTTTAATTTTGGTCATATCACGAAATTACGAATTACATGAGCATTTTTTTGAGATTATGATGAAAATTTATAAAAAATAAAATTTTATGTTAATTTTTTTAATCTAATTTTTGATATTTATATTAAAATTCAATTATATTTGAATTCAAGTTTAAAATTTTAGTTAAAAATAAAGAAGGTGTTAGTATTTCGCTATAACTTTTGTTATATAGCCTCGAAGAAGTAGATTCTGCAAGAATTAATTGCAATTAGTGTTTTAAAAAATGTATTTGGGGGAGTCTCGAGGTGGGGTACGTCTTAAAATTTGAGGCATAGGTTCCGAGCATAAAAATGTAAGTTCTGGGCGTAAAAACCTATGCCAGGAAATTTTAATTTTTTTTAAAAAACTTTTTTTCAGTAAATCATATTTTTACTGTTGGTGTAATGATATTTTTTACGTAATAATTATAATATCTTTTCTTCATTATTAATTATTAACACTCATCTCAAATAAAAATCATAAATCATTAAAAGATTTACCTCTGCTTATTTTACTAGTAATAAAACTATGAGATGGAATATACATAAAACTACGCTCCATAGATCCGTGAGACTTACGCCCCATATCTCGGAGCATAAGCTTCGCCCTATTGTGTATAAAATGCGCCGCCTCACGTTCCCGCATTTTAAACCATTGATTGCGATGATAATATATGACAATAATTTTTAATAAAATGACCGATTAATATGAGACCGTAATTAAGGAATCAACCTTTTTTCCTTGACTGTGGTAACATTAGGAACTGTAATTAATTATCAAATTCCAATCAATAAAATTACCATCATCATATTGTTACTCTTTTTTGACTCATTTCTGGCCCCAACTCTGAAAAAATCATCCACAGTTCAAAGCTATCCTTTTGAGTACTATAATGCTTCCTTTACCCTACTTCTATCTATAGTTTCTTTACCTTTATTTCTTGCAGCTTTAGAACAACAAAGGTAAATATTCAATTAAAAGAGATCAAGTTCCCTACATTATCATGTACTATAGATATATAAATCTTCATAATAACAAAATTGATATAAAGACATAAATATTTTTATATTATCAGTATTTATAACTTAAATCATGAAAGAGCGAAAGAATTTAGTGGGATAACCTATATTGACATAGAAAATGACAAGTTAAATGTTGAAGGACGGCATTTTTTTAAAGCATTAATTGAGGGGCTATATTTTAAGATATTTATTATGGTACAGTTGGGTAGATAAACTTCAAACATCACTGTATTTACTCACCTTCAACAAACTAA